CTCTCTCCTCTCTCTCTCTCTCTCTCTCTCTCTCTCTCTCTCTCCTCCTCTTTCTTCTTCCTTCTCTTTCCCTCTCTTTGAGGAGTTTTGGTCCTTGAAAATGTACTGGACTCCCTTGTAAAAGGGACAAGTTGATTATGCTTGAATTTTTTATTTATTGTACAGCAGATGTCCTGTAATTTCCTGCAGCTACAGTGGTATCTTGGTTTAGTTAATACTGTAGCTGCTTCCAAACTGTGTGAAAAAAAAAAACAACCTCAGGAGGTCTTCTCTTTACGGATGACCAATAGAGAGAAAGGGGGGGGGCTAGGATTGATTCCATTTACAACCAAAACCATGGGCCATTTCTAACCTTTAGAACCTACGCATTTTTGTGCATATTCCATTCTCTCCATTAGTTCGCTTCCGAGTTCCAAATTGGATCAGTCTACTTATTCCGGTTTATCTGCAAGTGCAAAGTAAACCACTGGTAAGGAGATTTTTTTAATTCTCTCTTTTGGTGGAGGGAAATGCTTTGCATGGACTCAGGTATGAGTGTCAGTGTCCAACACATGTTAGTGTGTCAGACAAGGTATCTCGAATACTGTGGATATGATGACACATGTATTCAATAAAATAAGTGATCATAAACTACCTAAATGAAGTGCTATTGACGGTTGATTTTCTTGCAGCTTAGCCTTCATTTAGTTTCTTGAATACCCATAAGGATATATGCTCCTGGAATTTGTGAGACCTTGTTGTTCTCTCTCTACTATTTTGCAATAATGAACTATGACTCCATTAAATGTCATAATAACCTGATCATTTGATAACTATATCAGTGTGGGCATCTTGTTCTATTTGTGCTCGTTATCAAGAACGCATGCTGAAGCATTCTCCTTTTCTGCTTATCCTGTTGTGTTTGCTTGCTACTCTGTTAGTCTGAACTTTCTTATATTTTCGGGTTTAATTAATTTCCTAATGTGGATATTAGTGGTTTTGGAGCATGCAATTTGCAAATTATATATCTCTTTGTAATTTCTTCTTTCCTGTCCCTCTTCCCTCCACTTTCTTCTTGTCAAGTTATTCTTATTCTTTCTTTTTTTGGTTTCTTTTTTTTCTTAGGTGCCTTTGCACATTGAGTAAAGTTTCTAGCAAAGGTGCAAGGTTAATTGATTACCTTATTCAGAGGTTCTTCAAACATTTGGACTCTTGCAAGGATGAACTTAAACCTGAGAACAAGGAGGTTGATCCTTAACTTGGTTGAACGTTTTCTTATAATCAACACTGCGCTTTTATGGATATTGTTAAATAGTTGGTGATTTTGCATACCTCTGCTTTGGAAATTAGTATCTAGGAAAATTTACGAAAATCTAGGCAAAGGAGCTTTATTTTTTGTTTTCATTTTTATTTCTATCTTTCTTCGTAACACAATTTAATTTGTCTATACTGGGCAGCCACTAGGGCGTTCCCTTTTTTGTATTGGTGTTCTCCTCCGCTATGGTGCCAAGTTGATTTCATCAAATATTGACACTTACAATGTGACGATCCTCTCAATATTAAAAAGGTATCTTTGTTCTGAGGATTTTGACCTTAAGGTCCGATCTTTGCAGGTGAGCTCCTTCTTGTATGCTTCATCTTGGGCCTTTTCATCGGCAGCTTACACTCTTCTGACCATTTCCTATTTACGCAGGCATTAGGATATATTTTAATTGCAAAGCCCGAATATATGATGGATAGAGATGTTAGTAAAATATTGGAGGCCACATTGTCTTCTGGTTCAGACACTCGAATTAAGGTACAAATTACTTTCTTCCTCTTTACATACCTTTTTCGTAACTCTAATACTGAATCCTTTAATGGAGCAGATGCAGGCATTACAAAACCTGTCAGAATATCTTCTAGATGTTGAAGGTCAAACTGAAAATGATGATTCTGACAGCATGGGAAAAAATGGTCCTGAAGTACAGGCACATGGAGTGCCAGTTGCAGCAGGTGCAGGTGATAGTAACATCTGTGGAGGAATAATTCAATTGCACTGGAACAGTATCTTGGAAAGATGCTTGGATGTGAATGATCGTGTTCGCCAGTCTGCTCTTAAGGTAGAATGACCTAATTATTGGCTTCTTGTACTTTAAGATATTTGTTTCTAGTTGTGTCTCATTATGTGATTGGTTTCTCTGTTGTGTCGCTTTATGTGATTGGTTTAATTGTCTTCTGTTTCCTTTGTAAACAGGATGGTTTATGCATGTCTATGTTTATGTGCTGTGTCTAATTGTTTCTCTTAATCTTTGTTCTGATTGAAGTAAACTTTAAATGTTTGTATCTCCTTTGCCAGATTGTGGAGATTGTACTACGTCAGGGTTTGGTTCATCCTATTACATGTGTTCCTTACCTTATAGCCATGGAAACAGATCAGCAGGAGGTGAATTCAAAGTTGGCACATCGCTTGTTAATGAATATGAATGAGAAGTATGAGTACTCTTTAAGTTGATTTTACCTATTGTGCAACTCTGAGGATTTGACATCCATATCTTTCATTGCTAATATAAGCGTATTACAGATATCCTGCATTCTTTGAAAGCCGGTTGGGTGATGGCCTTCAGATGTCATTTAATTTTATGCAGTCCAGAGCTGCATCTCTTGCTGCTTCACAAAACCAGAATAAGGGACCTGGAAATTTGAAAGGGAGATTTGAGGACATCATTTCTGCATCAATGAAGCTTGGAATTTCTAGGATATACAGGCTGATTCGAGGAAATCGTGTTTCAAGAAACAAATTTATGTCGTCGGTAGTGCGTAAATTTGATTCTGGAAACAACCAGCAGTCATCCCTTCCTTTTCTAATGTATGTACGCAATATAGTTTGGAAGTTTATATTTTCTTGCTAATGCTACGTTTAATAATAGGAATAGGTCCCGAGTAGTTAATTTTTTCTAGGCATACCAACTCTCCTTTTCAATGATCCAATTTTTGGAATTGAGAGCTGCTTCCTTTCTTCCTTTTTTGTTTTTTTTTTTGCAGATACTGCACCGAAATTCTTGCAGCCCTTCCATTTACATTGCCTGATGAACCTCTTTATCTAGTCTATACATTAAATAGAATCATACAAGTAAGAGCTGGACCACTTGAGTCTAGTATGAAAACCCTAATTTCCCAATATCGACATGAAAATGATGCAAAGGGGCCCTATGAAAATGGGATAGTTGAGAAACAGTTTGAAGCAGACGATGTTTGTAATCATGAGAATCCTATGTCGGTTGATGATTTTCATGCCATTTCAGAAGAAGATTTGCACAAGCTTAAGGTGAGACCCTTAATACTTTCAACTGTCAAAAAAAAATTTGCATTTTTATTTTATCAATTGTCATCTTCCATATTTTTATTAAAAGAAGTTGATTGCAACCAGTATATACATAATGGAGCAACCAGTATATACATAAATGGGCCATGATCCTTTCCTTAACCTATCAAGGGTTTCAAAAAAGGGCCCTTGACTTAGAAGACCCCTAATATCCTTTTCCTAGCATTTGCTTACGAAACAGTATATTGATTTCTGGTCTGCAATGAGCATGAGACATTTGGTGCCCCCCATGGCGCATCCTAAAAAGCCTTACTGTTGTTCTCTTTAATGAGCCAAATTCCTCTACTTTTCTACTTTCATTGAGAACTTGTAATTATTACTGGGTACTTATGTTCTATATTCATTTAAAATAATATCATAGCATAATAATAGAGTAATATACCCATTGTACCATTATTAAAGAATCTCATTGCTTTTGACATTCTTTCTACCTCACTAGCTCAAGAAATTGTCTTGCAAGTCCTTCACTATGTATTGGAATTTGTGATAAGAAATGGAAATCTGATCTCTTCTCTCCACACAGGATGATTGCCACACTGCAATTGCTTTGCAGTTGCTACTAAGGCTGAAGAGGCATTTGAAGATTGTCTACAACCTAAGTGATGCACGCTGCCAGGTATGCTCTATTCTAATCTATAGTGGCATTTCATAGACATGAGTATCAATTTCCTTTGAAATTTTATATTAGTAGTGTTTCAGAGTAAGTTATCCTAGAGGAAATTACCGTAAGTTGTTCTTGTGCAGGCTTTCTCTCCAAGTGAACCACTAAAATCAGGTGAAACTTTATCTAAGCAAAATGTGCCCTTTAATGTCAAGGATACTCCCATCAATTCTCCCACAACTCTCCAAGATATACTCCTCAAGTACCAGGTAATAATAACTATTTTGGCTATTTGTGTTGGAAAAAGTTTATATAAGTGCAAGGCTGTAAACAATCAAATTAGGGCGCACCACAAAAATTTCACTAGAAGAGGTTATTTTGATGTCAAAATATCCTCAAATTGATCATCTCGACCTCAAGATGCATGGACATGAGAAAAAAAATGGATTTCAAGTTTTGGAAATAGTGCATCTTGTAATGCATTTTTGGAGAGTCAATTTTTAAGATTTTCAAGTTTTGATAGATCTGCTCGATCTACACTATTTTTAAAGTTTTAAATTTTATAATTAGAGATGAAAATATATTGTAAGGCTATCACAAATATTTCCAGTATTGAAATCACATTTCTCGACACTATTTGAAGGTGTGCTTTACTTTGATTGTTTAGAACCTTGGCTTTATACAAACCGCACCTTTTTGTGTTCATCGGATTTTCCTTGACCTTAGAGAGGTTAGTTTCATGTTCTCATCCTAGGTACATTTGGTTGATAGTTGCTAAATTAAGGATTGCTCTTTTACATTTTACAATTGAATGCATGTGAAGCTTAACAAAGACAAAAAATCAATCTAGCAAAGTCAAACATAAGGGCTATGAAATCAATCTGTATCAAATAATATCGTTGCAGTAAGGCATTTTCTTCATTGAGTCATCAAGGCTTAAAATTTTGGGAAAAAACAGATCCCAGAAATAACAATAAATGAAAAACCATGGTATATATCACTAAATATCAACACTGTGATGTATCTGATGTAGGAATTAGATGTACGGCAGGCTTTCTGAGTCCTAATACACATGCATTTTATATATGTATATGGAGACTTGCAGCGATGTAATCCTTGATCAAACGGTTGAGAGTGTGCCTCCAAAGAGGTCACTTGTTAACTGTAGCATTACAAAAACATCTAGTACTAGTCTTTGATATTGTTGTTGGCTCGATACTAGCCATCTAATATTAGATGGCCATTGGTCCCCATACGCATATGGATTATATGGGGACCTGCAAAAAGTTTTCTGGAATATATAATTTGATTATAGTATTAACTAAACACACATTATCACGGAGCAATAGGTCACTAGAATGAGTTTATTCTATAAAGAAAAAATGAAAAAAAAAAATCATGGCTGATTCCTATTACGTTTTTTTGCCATGAATTATGCAGGAGTTTAAGAATTTGCTTAAAGAAGACACTGTGGACTACTCTGCCTATTCAGCCGATCCCAAGAGGCGGCGATCAAGGGGCTCCTTTAGGGAGCCCGAAGAGGGACATTTTGGTAAAAGTCCCCCACCACGAATGGCGAAAACTGGAAAGAGCATGCGCGAAATTGACATTGGTGACAGGTGTGATGAAGATGGTGGTGATGATGATATTTGGTTGGGTGGGCTCCAAAAGCCCAATTATAGTGGAGGTAGGGGTCGATTAAGGAAGAAACAGAGGTGAGGTAGCTATTGTAAGTATCTTGATTTGTATATTACGCAGTTCATAAATGTAAAAAGTTTTGGAGAGGGAGAGAGGCCTGGGGGGGGGGAGGGGGGAGGGTTTCAATGAAGGGTTTTGTGTGTGAGAGAGAGAGATATGTGTGATCCACTAATTGGGGTTGACCTAACAAATTGGTCAATGATGAGAGATAGAAAGAGGGCAGGGATCCGAGGGGTAGACTCGATCTTGGTTTGGGTATGGATCCAAACATTGGACTCGGTGGCTCTGGGTCCAAATCTTGGACTTGAACACTATTTGGGTCCAGGTCAGGTTCTGTTTTGGGGTTTGGTAATAATTTTCAAGTTCTAATATATTTAAATATAATTAAATACATAGATTTTTGGGTCAGGTTCGGATCTGGGTTCGGGTCCAGGTCTGGGTCTGTTGAATTCGGGAGTTGGTCCGGGTTCAATGTTTGGTGTGCACTAATTTAGGTTGACCACAATTTGGCTACATGGATGTGAGAGAGAGAGAGATTGGAACTGCGGAGTTGAACATGCACGCTGAAAGGGAGACAGGCGATTTGGATCATGCGGGTAATGGACATCTACAGTCATTGTAGTCCCACGGCGGATTGTCCCATGCTGTATCGTACGCCATGGCCCACTTGTATCACTGCAGAATGGCAGACGGGCCTTTGCATTAGAGAGGACGTCCTTTTTTTCTTTTGGGCAATGATTTCACGCAATCAATCGATGCAACAATCTTAAAAAAATTATATCTTAAAAAAATCATCTTATGACCATTTGTTTGATCCAAATTTTAAAATATACACTCTTTTTATTTTAATGAACAATCATAAAAAATATAAAAAATAAAAAATAAAAAAATAATATTGGCAGTTTATTTTGGTAAGATGTTTAGATTTAGGTTTTAGAAGGATTTTTTTCATTTCCAATTTTTTTGAATGGTTATATTATCATTAGATGAACAACGTTAAAAAAGAAAAATGATTTTGAATTTATAAAGGTTAAGATCTTGAAATTCACAAAATAAATGGTCTAGATTCGTTTTTGGAGGGGATTCATTTTGACCATATTTAAGGTTGAAATTGTACTCTTTTTTGTTTTGGGATTAATTATTGAGATGAAGAGTATGTATGTAAAATTTGAGGTCATACAAATACTACAAACATGGTATTTTAAAAGAGTCGTTGCATTATATTACGATAGAACCGTTACATTGGATCCTTTTTTTTTTGGGATGAATAGAGGGATCAAGTTGTGTCCAATCAAATAACTAAACTCTCTCTCGTCTGTCGTATGCCTCGTGGCCTGGCTTGAAATAATCCAATATCTAATGGACCGGCCGCTCTGACTAGGCCTGGCTTTGGCTTGGCCCAAGTTCGGCCTGTTACTAATATTCAACATTGAACTTATAAATTATGGATATCCTTTTTTGTGCTTTTTATATTTTTGGATAGTTCATTGATAATGGAGTCCTTTACTCATTATTCAAAAAGTCATGTTGAGGTGCCTTACCACCTAGTTTGGAGTCTATTCCTAAATTTTGGTAGTTTAGTGCGGATGAGGTGTTCTACCCATGAATTGAAGATGTTTTGTCGTGGTGTCCTACCATGCTGAATACCTACCCAAATTCCACAGAAAGGCATTATCTTGTGATATCTTCCAAGTAATGGTTCTCATAAATAAATATTAAAAAAAAAAAAACCTATAAAGCATAAATTCTAAAAACTTATTAATGATAAGATGGTGGGTGGGGGAGGGGAAGAACTCTTCAATCGTATATAGAACAAATGCAAAAATACCGGAGAAACTTTAACAAAAAAGTTTATAAGGTTGCATATTTAAAATGTAGAATTAAAGATGCCCCTCAAAAATCCATCAGAAAATGTTGTTTTAATGTTAAAAAACCCTCTAATTGATTATCTTGATATCGAGATGTAGGAATATGAAAAAAAAAAAAACAGAAGATTTTGAATCTTAGAAGTAGTGCATCTTGTAACACAATATCTAGACCGTCAATTTTCAAGAGTTTCATATATTTATAGGTCTATTTGATGTTAATTATTTTTTATGTTTAAAATTTTGTAATTAGATATAAAATTTGATTTTAAAATAATCTTAAAAAATTTTAAGGTGCGCCTTAATTGAATTGTTTAAGGTTGCTTATACAAACCACACCCTTCCTTAAATTTACTTCGATTTAGCCAAAGAGTGAAGCTTTCGATTTTACCACTCAATCGAAGCCAATTAAAGGAAGAATAATTCACAATTAAATTCCATAACCCCGAAATTTAGCATTTTACACAACTATCTTGTGTGTTTTAGCAGAAGAGACATAATATCAACACGTGTCTTATGTGTTCCAGCAAAAGAGACATAATATCGACACGTGTCAATTGAGAACGTGAAACTTAATGATATGGATTGCACTTTGGACATACGGATAATTTCATAGATTCGTCTTTGACATTTTGCACTAACCATGCCGAAGTTTTGATGTTGGAATTCAGACGAAATATTGAACGAAGGTTTGAATATTTTGATAAGGTCAAAATGGTTATCAAAAATAAATAAATAAATAAATCTTCACCTCATAATTTATCGAAATTTGCAAGTATTGAAAGCCTTTACATCCATCATCTCAACTTGAACGTTATGGTTGTGAAAAAAAAAAAAAAAAGTTAGAATTTCCAGCTCTAAAAATAATGTATATTATAATAAATTATTTAGACAGTTCATTTTGTTTTAAAAATAAGTGTTCATAGATCCGCAAGATTTGTATCATTTTTTTTATTTCAAATTTTATTATCAATATTAGAAATTGATTTTAGAGTCATCATAAAAATTTATGTCGCCAAATGTACTTTCCGAACAAAGATAAGAGGTGAGGCTTTATTTTGTTTTCATAAAGCTATGCCATATAGAAACCTCATCCTTTCCCAAAAGGCCAACCAACATTAAGTCCTCGGATATTTTTATGTGATTTTAATGTTGGTCGATATTATACTTTCATATTTTCTATACGTAAAAAATTTATTTTTATTTTGATTTTTAAAATTTTTATAAATTTATACAAATATCTATTTAAAAATTAAAAAATATATAAAATTCTTTCCCGAATTGTCCGAAACAATAAATTGCTTTTTTTTTTTTTTTTTTTCTTGTACCGAATTGAAGCAAATTCTGATACGAACTTGACAACATTGTCAAAAATACATCATTTGTTTTTTAATGTTGAAAGATAAGAGAATTGCCTATCTTTTCTTCAATGACCAGAGGTCGCCTGTGAGTACGTATAAATATAATAACGGGTGAGATTTGAAGATAATGCATGGAATTGTGTAAGTGATTAATTGATATTGCTTTGAAACTGAAGATGGTCCCTTTTTTTATTGCTAAGGTCCCTGTTATGATGCATTACACTGACAGTTTTATTGTGTTTCCTAGATTTCTCTGCATTTGGAGAAATTATAGAGATTCATCTGATGAAGGACGAGACTGGAACCTAAAGCTCTTCCATCCCTTGATCCTTGTGTAGTACAATTTAACCATTGTAGTATTTTTCTGATGTGCGTGCGGGTGTGAAACATGAGATCTTGGTAATTTAAAGAAGAAGGCTGTTTTTTTCAAATAGTTTAGAAGTTATTTTTTTGAAAATGTTCCTGAGGTGGTTCTAGTAGGAATGGAACACAACGTGGCGATAAAGTATAGGGGTGCTACCACCACGACCCAGCCCCTTCTCCGTATATGAGTTTGTTTGTTTAGCCTCTGTCCTCATTTCTGTCAGTCATTGTTGCAACCGGTTACATTATTTGCCTTTTCTTCGCAGGGTTTTTACTTTGCACGGTACCCTACAAAAGAAGCTCATTTGAGGGTCCAAAAGGAAAAGGACCAGACTGCTAAGTGGGAACTCTGAATCCTTCATGGCTAAAGGCATCCTTGTTTGTACTTAGTCCCTGTTTGTATGTTACAATTTTTTTGGCTTTGGGTTGTCTTTCCCAGTAGGAATACGCCCCTCGCATGGGTGATCAGGGTGGTGGAGCCACAATGCATCAAAGGGGCTCCATCGCAATCCCATTAACCTGTACAAAAAAAAGTAAAAATAAAAAAGGGAAAATTGCATATATCCCTTGACCCTACTTTCGTGCCTTTGCCCAGCCCCCAATACTTTGTAAATTACACTACTAAACCAAAAACTGTTTAATTTTTACAACCACCCCTTAGGTCAAAAAGTGGAATCTTAAATGAAAATCGTGTCCCATGGAAATATCCCCTATACAACGCATTTTTTGCTTTTTTATATTATTCAACATGGTAAAACACATTTTTTCTCAAGCTAAAAATTAAAGTGGCCCTGTATAATGTAAGACGCGCACATTGTTTAAAATGAAACTGGTCCAGCACATCCTGTGCTGGATTAGCTTTTGTGCCAAATCGGCACATAGTTTAGCATCATTTAAAAAACCAAGTGGGTGAAATAGTGTGTAATAGGGGTATTTTCATCTTAAAAACATCATTTTTTACTTGGGTGGCTGCAAAAACAAACAATTTGGGGGAGCATAATTTTCAACAAAAAAAAAAGAGTTACATTTCCTTATTTAACTTGCCTTATCCATTTTCAAAAGAAGATTCATTTTTGCATTTTATTACCACGCATCTGAACTCAAGTGAGATTGTTCTATTGGCATCATCTGCTTCTATTGTAACCCTGATACAGTTACCTCCAGTAAAGAAGCATCCAGTGCATTTCTATTGTGCTCATCAATGTTCAAAAATAGTTGAAGCATAAAAGCAACAATTCAATAAAAATAGAATATATCTACTTTTTAAGTAGTGGTGATAAACTATGTTTGTCATACTCACACATCCTACAATTGGAGATCCCAAATGGATGGGATTTTGTAGAACATATGTCAGGGTAAATCATCATCATCATAGCTTTTTTCCAAGTAATTGAGATCGGCTACACGAATCCTCGTTCACCATTCTACTCCAATGTCAAAGTCAATAGTTGTAAACTTAGAGAGAATACATCTGGGAGAAATCTTACTCCTATTCACACTT